GAACATTGTATTAGCTCTAATCACTTCATAGATTCTGATAAAACTAAATGCCTACACTCAGGTAATAAAGGTAAACGTTTAGACCTTCTGGAAGCAATTGAAATTAGCAGTTCTTGGAAGAGAAAAGAAGAAATTAAATGAACAATTAGATTTTCAACTATCCTCCCTACTCACATCGATTTTGTAGATATAAATTTGTTGTACGTCTCTTATAGTAGTTTAGTCTTGAAAATGAGCTAACGCTCGAAACATGTTGACTATACATATTGTTAAATAAATCGTGAAACATTAAGCCAAGAGTTTAATTTATTTTATATATATATATATATATATATATATATATATATATATATATATATATATATATATATATATATATATATATATATATATATATATATATATATATATATATATATATATATATATATATATATATATATATATATATATATATATATATATATATATATATATATATATATATATATATATATATATATATATATATATATATATAAGACCGTTCATGGCGTTCACACACTTATGGATAAAAGTGATTATAATGTACATTTTCACTTTTCAGAGGTTTTCAGTGAATTAATCAAAAAGGATGAAAAATTCAGAACGTCCGTCGAAATGGGCACTCAATTGGTCTAATTCTGAGCCATGAACAAGAACGAAGTATAAGTAGTAAGAAATGGGGAGGAAAGGATCATTAGTGAGAGATATTGCCATCAATATCCCGCTTCGTTAGAGGCATCGTGAGTTTTCGACATCAATATAAAGTAATCTATTACAGGACGTGGAACTTCCGCCTAATTGCACGAAATTATGCGGGGAATTTTCCTAATTACAACGTTATGGAAATTGATAAAGTGGATATTCCGTATAAATCATCTGCCATTCTCTCGATATTCGCTTTTGCTTAGTGATTTCATTTCGTTTTTGATTATGTACTGAAAATTATCAGGACTTGAGTATTTAATGGGGCTGGTTTGCCTAACGAAACGTATTTTTTTTGATAATATTAAGTTCTTTATTCTCAGAAGAACGGGTATAATACCCAATTACAGAAAATTATGACATAATGTTGAATACTAACTAAATAATTAAATAATCAAAATGAAAAAGATGTAACAAACAGCTCAGTCTAATCTAAAAAAATAACTAATACCTACATTATAGCATTCAATGAAATATTTTAATCTAAATCAATTAATTTTAGACAATTTTTTTTACATAACTCCTCAATTAAACCTTCTATTTAGTCAAAGTGAATGGTTCAATAGTGTTGGCGTTTAGTTGATGTAAATCCATTTTAATTGAATATAAACTTAAATTCCAACACTTGAACTTATGATTTACACTTTATTGACTACATAGCATGACGCGTTTCGTCGTTACAAACGACTTCTTCAGATGCTTACAGAATAATGTACAGAATTATTCTGTAAGCATTTGAAGAAGACGTTTGTAACGACGAAACGCGTCATGCTATGTAGTCAATAAAGTGTAAATCATAAGTTCAAGTGTTTGAATTTAAGTTTATATTCAAAGTGAATGGCACATTTATTGGCAACTCTATTGAATGTAGACTCCATAAACCAAATGGGGAATTGAATTATCGAGTTGGTTACTTGGAGTCCCTAGGTGGAATAATTCTGTATTATGACAATTTTGCCTAGGAACATAAAGGGGACAAGAAAGGAGGACAATCAATACTATTGTGCAGTAATTTGTACAATAATTTGAGTGATAAAGTTCCGCTCTTGCTCTGCAATGAGATTAAACTAAATCGACTACATAATACGTTATAATTGACACCTCGTTGTGGATAAACGTTATTCTCCCTCCAAACTAAGAATTTTAAGAACCTTCTCTGAATAGCCTCAAGATGGCGTTGGTGGCGAGTGTTAATATGATGCCAGATCATGCTGCCATACTCCAACATGCTACGGATAAGGGTATTGAATAGTCCTATTAATGTAGGGGAATTATTAGAATATTTGCCATTGCCCATAACGAATCCATATATTTTCGAGGCAGATGAAGTAAGTTGGGTGATGTGCGGAACAAAGGAAAGCTTCTGGTCGAAGACTTCACCAAGATCTCTCGCCTTATCGGAACGAGGAAGAACCTGACCACCGACGCTATAATCACAGTCAATTCGGTCTCTTTTCTTTTGAGAGACAACATGGTATTGAGATAATTAGAGGTTTTTTCTGTGAATTTTCGATTGTCCCCAATATTACCAATTTACACCTCGGATTTTGTTCTACTATAGTGCTTTTTTCAGGATATTCATTTCCTCAATATGCAAATGAAGGTTATTTTGAAAGTCTTTTAAAAATTTTGGATATTAATAATAATGATAAAGATCAAATGAAAATTGTAAACAAAGGGGACTTGTTTACACGAATGTTGTCAACTGAAACGAAACCTCTCACTTTCGAGAGTGAATATTGAATATGTGTCGAAACATTCTCAGAATATCTTCATCAAAATATTCTGGCATTCCTCAGGAGTCTCAGGATTCACTTACTATGAACCATTCGTGAATTTGGAAACTACTTATCGAATTGCCCGCTAAGGTGTGATTTGGAGCGATAAGGCAGGGGGACATATACAAAGGATGTTCTGAGGTATTCGAATGGAATGTGAAGAAAGTTTCTACGTATTCTCACTGATATCTTCAATAGGCGATCTACAATGCTCGAGATAGTTTATGTCATTTTTTTGATAGAGGGAGCTCACGTGATAAGTTCAGCAATGAATATTCTCCTCATTCGGGAGATGGAACCTGGAAGTATTGTTCGATGAAAAAACCATCAAAACTTGATTGTTTCGTTTCATGCCGCTAAGAACTCCCTATAAGGATGGAACAATTGTATGGTATCTTCATTTAACAAGTTCGATGATTTTTCGGAATACACTCAATATTCCAATTTCCGTTCTATGTCAACACTCAATTTTTCATTAGCTTGATCGAGTATAATGTTGGATGTAACTTCAGACATATCAAGTGATAGCTCCGATGAATTCTCTCCAGATTGTCGACAACGACCGTAGCATCAACCAAGGTATCTTCTACTAGTTTTTAGGCGTCAATTATATTCACAGCCCCTTCAGCATGAACACTTTTCGTATAGTTTCAACTGAAATTTTGATAACGCCGTAGTCGTTTCTTTCATGGGAGAAAAATTTTTGATTCTGTTTTAAGTTACTGATCTTTTATATGACAAAGCATCCCAAATTGGATTTAGATGAGCTCAAAAGTTGGAGACTGAGAAACTTTCGAAAAGAATGTGCAGTACGATTTAACACTGCTTCTATTATAGTTCAACCACGTGTAGAAAAATTTGTATACGCGATCCGCCAAAATGAAGAGCCTGAACTTCGTGAGAAAAAGTGGTACAATAATTTTCAGAGAAGTCTATATGAATTCTTCTGTCAACGTATATCAAGTCATCTCATTCCAGTAAACGTAAGAGAAATATATCTCTCGTTATAAAAATTTATACAGTTCATCTTCCAATTCTGCAATGACGTCTCGCGGTTTCACCTTGAATTTTTCGTTCTAAGGAATGAGTCAGTAATAAGCGTAAGACTTTTCGATTTTTGTTGGGGCTGTAGTTAATTTTTCAGTGGATCAATTCTTTCAATCAGAATATATAGGCCAACAGAAATGATGAAAAACGAAGAAGAAGATAATTGTTTTGATAAATTCGGTTTTTCTAATGCAGTTTCTCTCCACTTTAGTATACCATTGGCAACACCATGTTCCTGTCACTTAAGAAATGGGAAATGAAATTTGTTCCACAATTTAAGTACTAGTATATATTACTAGTAATATAGTATTAGTAGTATAGTACTCATAGTACTACACTACTAGTACTATAGTCAATAGTACTAGTAGTGAAATCTGTACTACGAGAATTGAATTATCATTCAACGTCTGTTTTAAATATCTATTTTCGTGAAATGACTAGAAGATAGTACTTTTTTGTGCTTTCGTCATGTGAAGACTTCGATTTTAATGTTCTCCAATGAGCGGTAATGCAGGTATCACATTGCACATGTATCATATAACCCGCAACAGTATGATATTCTTATGGATAGTATACCGACACTCTTTCAAACACACACATATATATATATATATATATATATATATATATATATATATATATATATATATATATATATATATATATATATATATATATATATATATATATATATATATATATATATATATATATATATATATATATATATATATATATATATATATATATATATATATATATATATATATATATTAAAGTTTTTAGCAATAACAGGCTTTTTTTGATATGAAAAAGTTTATTTTTGTTAACGTTTCGTTGTTATATTGAAACTTTGTCAAAACTAAATAAATAAATCAATTTCAAGAAAATATATATATATATATATATATATATATATATATATATATATATATATATATATATATATATATATATATATATATATATTCCTCAAGCTAGTTATTCGACGCTCGGATTGTCGTCTTCGATACTTGCAGGCGAAAGTGAGTGACACCTACCCATCCTCCCAGATGTATTAATTTTTCCTTAAGGAACAATGATAAATAGAGTACAAATATTTTTTCATGTTAACCAACCACGTGCGAACATGAATAATGTATTGATATTTTATAGTGAAAATTGAGAATTGAAATTGAATTTCAAAAGTTTAGAATTCCACTGGGATTCGAACCCGGGTCTTCAGGTTTACGCCGCATTGCTTTGGACCGCTGAGCTACCGAGGTCGACACTTTGAGATGCAACTTCAATTCATGTCTAACACTCTTTTATCCGTCAAGCTAGTTATTCGACGATCGGATTGTCGTCTTCGATACTTGCAAGCGAAAGTAAGTAGAAGAGTACGTCGAATAACTACCTTGACGAATCAAAGAGTGCTAGATATGAACTGAAGTTGCATCTCAAAGTGTAGACCTCGGTAGCTAAGCGGTTCAAAGCAGTATGGCGTAAACCTCAAGAACTGGGTTCAAATCCCAGTCGAGTTTAGAACTTTTGATATGTTATTTGAATTCTCAATTTTCACTATGAAGATATTAATACATTTTTCATGTCCGCACGTGCTTGGTTAACACGAAAAAATTACTGTACTATATTTATCATTGTTCCTTAAGGAAAAATTAATACATCTGGGAGGATGGGTAGATGTCACTCATTTTCGACTGCAAGTATCGAAGACGACAATCCGAGCGTCGAATAACTAGCTTGAAGAATAAAAAAGTGTTAGATATGAATTGAAGTTGCATCTCAAAGTGTAGATAGCGTGTAGATTAGCGGTCCAAAGCAATAGGGCGTTAACCTGAAGACCTGGGTTCGAATCCCAGTCGAGTTCAAAACTTTTGAAATGTAATTTCAATTCTCAATATTCACTATGAAAATATTAATACATTATATATATATATATATATATATATATATATATATATATATATATATATATATATATATATATATATATATATATATATATATATATTATATATAATATTATTACATTAAAATATATATAATATTACTATATATATATATATATATATATATATATATATATATATATATATATATATATATATATATAAGAAAATGAACACTAGAACATTCATTTGAAAAAATTAAATTAATCAAAAGTATGTTATAGTAGAGCTAGATATGTGAACGTATACGATGTGATGTCTCCATTATCCTTCAAGGGATAAATGTTAGAGAAATATTGAAATCGAAAAAGTGCGAGACATATATGTTTAGTTCTGCAAGGAACTCGTCAGTCGCACCACGTCCATCGAAGTGAGGCAACAACTTCAACCTCCAAACATCTTCTTGTGACTTCAAGCGGAAGATCGTAGAGTAATGAATACTCCACAATTCCATCTATAGAAATCAGTATTGGTGCGACTGACGAGTTCCTTGCAGAACGAAACATATATGTCTCGCACTTACATCAGGTGTGGCATCGATTTCAATATTTCTCTAACATTTATCCCTTGAAGGATAATGGAGACATCACATCGTACACGTTCACATATCTAGCTCTACTATAACATTCTCTTGATTAATTGCAATTTTTCAAATGAATGTTCTAGTGTTCATATTCTTAAATATTTCATTCAGTGCCATAAGCACAAAAAAATTTCATTTCCATAAAAATATCGCCGAATAGGCCCCTGAAATACGGAAATAAACGCGAGCGTACTACTAACGCAGCCTATTGACATTTGAAAACATCGTTCGATGATATTCGTCAAATAGACATTGCAATTTCGTAGATAACTACGGGTATAGAAGATATGTGAAATTTCGATGCTTGGTGTGTCTGTAATCTGAAAGGTGTTTTCTACTGATTTCTCTAGATGGAATTGTAGAGTATTCATTACTCTATGATCTACCGCTTGAAGTCACAAGAAGATGTTTGGAGGTTGAAGTCGTTGCCTCACTTCGATGGACGTGGTGCGACTAACGAGTTCCTTGCAGAACGAAACATATATGTCTCGCACTTCCATCAGGTGTGGCATCGATTTCAATATTTCTCTAACATTTATCGCTTGAAGGATAATGGAAACATCACATCGTACACGTTCACATATCTAGCTCTACTATAACATTCTCTTGATTAATTTGAATTTTTCAAATGAATGTTCTAGTGTTCATTTTCTTAAATATTTCATTCAGTGCCATAAGCACAAACATTTTATTTCCTTAAAAATATCGCCGAATAGGCCCCTGCAATACGGGAATAAACGCGAGCGTACTACTAACGCAACCTATTGACATTTGAAAAGATCGTTCGATGATATTTGTCAAATAGACATTGCAATTTCGTAGATAACTACGGGTATAGAAGATATGTGAAATTTCGATGCTTGGTGTGTCTGTAATCTGAAAGATGTTTTCTACTGATTTCTCTAGATGGAATTGTAGAGTATTCATTACTCTATGATCTAATGCTTGAAGTCACAAGAAGATGTTTGGAGGTTGAAGTCGTTGCCTCACTTCGATGGACGTGGTGCGACTAACGAGTTCCTTGCAGAACGAAACATATATGTCTCGCACTTCCATCAGGTGTGGCATCGATTTCAATATTTCTCTAACATTTATCCCTTGAAGGATAATGGAAACATCACATCGTACACGTTCACATATCTAGCTCTACTATAACATTCTCTTGATTAATTTCAATTTTTCAAATGAATGTTCTCGTGTTCATTTTTTTAAATATTTCATTCAGTGCCATAAGCACAAAAAAAATTCATTTCTATATATATATATATATATAAATATATATATATATATATATATATATATATATATATATATATATATATATATATATTCTTGTGTGTATTCATTTCAAAAAATTGAAAAGAACGTTGACTATGTCAGAATATGGGACCCAAGAAGAAAAGATAATTGTTTCAATGAAAACTAACCGAAATACTGTATAACATGATTCACAAAATCATAGAATTGCAAATGGGAAACTGAAACGTTGACGCAGAAAGAGAATCCAGTATTTTATTAGTCATAATAGACGCTCTAATTTAAATTGAATCACTTACCGATAACGGACAGCTTAACCCTGAAGTTCTTTGTCGGTGAACGTAGATAGTCGATACGACAGGTGTAATCCCCTTCGTCCATTTCGTTCACACTGTCCAAACTGAGCGTGGAGGGCTCAGTCATGGGTCGAAAGAAAGCGCGGGTGTCTAAATTTCTTTCCTGCCAGTGTTTGGCTAGTTTGCTGTGAGGTCCCCGGGTGTCATAGCTGAAATAGAAAAATAATGACTGAATTCACGAAATTTCGACATTGTTGAATCGATTGGTTCGCCAGAAAGTAATTTATATATAGCTAAGGCAGTCGAAAAAAGGATATTTCATGGATATTTTAGACAACAATAGGAACAATTCTCAACAACTATGGAAACACTTGAAAAAATTATTACCAAATAAAACAAACAATACAATATATGTGGAAATTGATAATGAAATAATCCAGGATGATCACCATATTGCCCGCTTTTTCAATTTATACTTTGTTGATAGTATAAAACAGATAATAATTAATTCTATAGTTTCGAAATATAACCATGAATATGTGATGAAATTTATACTGAAATTGTCGAAAATGGATAACTTCGAAAAAATAGATATGGCAGGTTTTGAAACTATTGTGAGAAATTTGAAAAATACAGGTAGTTGTGAAGATGATATAACTGTTAGGATATTAAAAGATGCTTTTGACATTTCTGGAAATCGATTTTTAGAATTGGTAAACACATCACTGACTCATGGAATCTTTCCAGATGAATGGAAATGTTAATTGATAATACCAGTGCCTAAAATTCGTAACACTGTCAAATTGGAGGAATTTTGACCTATAAATCTTCTTCCACCTTATGAAAAAATTCTAGAACTAGTTGTTAAAAATCAGGTTCTAGAATAATGCAAAAAACATTCAGTTATTTCTGACTTACAATCAGGTTTCAAGAGAAATTCCTCCTGTGAGACAGCACTGTTATGCATATGTGAGGAATGGTATAGAGCTATCGATGAAGGAGAGATAGTGATTGTAGTAATATTAGACTTCAAAAGAGCGTTCGAAACTTTATGTGGATCTGCTGTTGAAAAAACTAAATGAAATCGGTTTTGAAGGTTTAGTGAACAAATGGTTCAATTCTTATTCACATTCGCGATCTTACAAAGTTGAGTTCAATGGTGTTATTTCGGACATCATTGGAGTTGATTCTGGCGTACCTCAGGGTATGGTCTTAGGCCCACTGCTTTTCTTCTTAAACATTAATGATATTGTTTTGCATGTAAAAAAATGCTCTATACGATTGTTCGCAGATGATACTATGATTTTTGTAAGTGGTAAATATATTCAGGCTATGACTGAATGGATCAATAGAGACTTGGCAGCAATAAATGAGTGGCTAAGCGATAACAGTTTATCGCTGAATGAAAGAAAGTCTGAATTTATAGATTTTGGTACCAGTAGAATTTTTATGGTAAATATTAATGAAAGTATAAGTATTGAAATTGAAAACCAGAACATTGAAAGGGTAAAACTTGTTAAATTCTTAGGCGTTATGTTAGATAGTCAGTCGTCTAAAATCTCCAAGAAAATCTCCAAGAAATCCACATATACGAAGTTATTGCTCTCTAAGGCGATAATTATGCCACACTTTGAATATTGTTCCACTCTGTTATTGGGATTGAGTAAAGAAAAATCTCAACAGATACAAAAGTTACAGAATAGAGCTATGCGAACAATTTTGAAAAGTAAAAGATATACTTCAATCCAAAGCATGCTGAATTGTTTAGAACTAATGTCAGTTAAAGAGAGAATACTTTTTCCTACATATAATATTTATATTTAAAGTTAAAAACAAATTGTTCCCATATGAAGTAATAAGAAATGTAACATGCGTCAGTGATGTGCATAGTTATAATACAAGAATTCCTGACAATTTCTACATGCAAGTTTGTAAGCATTCTGAACATAGTAATAGCATATTTTATGAAGGATTCAACGCACTTAATAAATTGCCTAGCTCCATAAAAACAATTAGTGACCTTAAGGTATGCAAGCGTTAACTAGTTGAGTTCGTTTTAAACATATAATTGTAAATAATATATTTTGAGCCTGAATGTATGTATGCTTTTGTGATAGCTAATGCTAAAATGAATTATTAATAATAAATATACTCATTATATGTATGTATATATATTTATATATGTATATATAAATCTACTACAAGTAAAAGAATTATGTAGTTCTAGTGCTACATTATCGCATTTGCGAGTATTCAATATAAATACTGCAAATCCAATAAAGGACATGACGAAGAGAAATGAGACAAGAAGAAATAATCGAAGACCGAATACAACAGACTTCTATTCGAAAACGGCCTGAGTTCAGAATTATAATAACTATCTTCTAAGTATTTCTGTTAAAGGCTTTGGACAATGTAGATTCTTTTCTTAACTACTT